TTTGGCAAGTGCCTTCAAATTTCTCAGTACAATGTTTCATCCAGTCACTGAAGGCGATGCATTGTACCTTAAATTTACATGCCAAGAAAAAGACTCAGACTGAAAAGAAGACCTTCAGTATCATCTTCCTGCAATATATCAGACACTACACATGAGTTAGAAGACCCAGATCCAATTCCCAGGTGTGCAAGTGTCTTGCAGTGTGATCTCTAGTCTGCTCTTTAATCTTTCTGCACCTCAGTTTTTCCATCCTGGAAAACAGGGATTGTATTACCTGTCCCTCCTTGAATTTAGACTCTTGCTGCAAGCTGAGAATATTTATGCGTCTACAACTTGTGAAACTGGGGTTTGGAAAACTCAGAAAATTAAGCACAAATGTTTCTCACTTTTGTCAGACCTACCATGAAAAATCCACAGTTGAGCCCAGCAGAAGTCCCTAAGCAAGTAATCCCTCAGAAAGTTAGTTCTGACTTCCCGCTCAACAGACCACTGACACAAGAATGAGAAGTGAGGGGCCAGGCAGGACCTCAGGTGCTACATGGCTAAAAAAGCAAGTCATTGTCTATTATGTTCCCTGACAACATTATCACCCTAGACACACTACCCTTAACACTCCAGTGTGGTTTTATCTCAAAGAAGCTACCTCAATACTTAGAGCGCTTACTTCTTCAATGTTTACAAAAACAAGCACTTTCCCTGGATGGGAAGTGCCCTGCTGGGATTGCCTTGGGATGACCCTACAGTTAAGGTAGGACAAAGGGATGACAAAAGAAGTATGAGGTGCAAGAGAATTTATTTAAGGCAGTGTTTTACAATCCTTTCTGAGTTCCTGGTACAATTCTGAAATACAAAACTCTGGGCAGCATTCCAAAAGAGATTATTAAAATTCAAATACTGGTTTTTAGAAAGATCAATTTGGAAACTTGAAAAACCTTTCTAATTATCCACTTTCCATTAGGTCCCCCTTTAGTCTGCGTGGCTGTCACAACAAGGAAGTTTACTGCTCGGTCTAGGCTCTCCACAAGGCCTAGTTTCCCTCTGTTCCACTAAACACTGCCTTTGGTATCTTCGAATTATTGACATTAAATTATATCTCAGCTGCAGTAAGTTTCAGCCCCGTAGCAATGCATCACATGGCCAACACTCAGCTCAACACTCAACTTGAGAGATATCATTATGAATTCACACCAAGATCTACAATATGAATCCTAAAATACATTTTATACCCTGACCAAAATGTAGCACACTCCTGTGAAGGATGAGTGTCATACAAGTTAAGAAATACTCTCTAATAATTGAATCCCACAGCTCCTGCCTCATCTAAAGGGATAACTTTGTGTATAGAAAAGGCAGGCACTGAGCATGGAAAGTAGAGACCTATGTCCAACTCCAGGTCTGCTACTTACTGTAAGACCTCGTACCTGTTTCCTTAACTGTGAAGTGATAATAATGTCTACCTTACAAGGTTATTGTGAGGATTAAAAAGCATATGTAAGCATTTTATAAACAGTGCTATTCAAATTTAAGTTATTATTCTGCCTGTGGATTTAACTAAAGCTGAAAAAGTTCTTTTAAGAAGCTGGTTAGGGACTTCCCTGGTGGCGCAGTTGGTTAAGAATCCGCCTGCCAATGCAGGGGACACGGGTTTGAGCCCTGGTCCGGGAAGATCCCACATGCCGCGGAGCAACTAAGCCCGTGTGCCACAACTACTGAGCCTGCACTCTGGAGCCCGTGAGCCACAACTACTGACCCCGAGTGCCACAGCTACTGAAGCCCACGTGCCTAGAGCCCGTGCTCAGCAAGAAGAGAAGCCCGCACACCACAACAAAGACCCAACACAGCCTAAAATAAAAATAAATAAATTTATAAAAAAAAAAAAGAATGTCATTTGTTCACATGCTTACAAAAATTTTCTGAGTCAACCTCAAGTCACTGAAAAGCATTATCTCCTTCCATTGGCTAAAAAACAAGCAGAGTAGCACTACCCTACCAGGGGCATGGTAAGCAAAGGGAGAAATGAAGAACTGCGTATACCCACAGTGAATGGGGCAGAGATACTTTATTTCATTATTTGAACTGAAAAGTAAAAATCAAAGGTCAAAGTTTTCCAATGGGTCTGAGAGGAATATATCCATGTTATGAATATTAAACACAACCTATTGCCAGTTCAGAAAGCTCAATTATCTTCAAAGTGTTTTTCACACATTAATTAATCCTCACAGCATCCCAAGGATGAAAGAAATTTAATTTTCATACTCTAGTTATTTATAACAACAGGAAGAATCTAAGTGGATCGTGATGTGCCATTTTGATAAGACAGGTCAACAAATGTTTCATCAAATGTTAAGGATCTACCATATCATCAGTACTACATAAGGCACAAAGTGTCTAACTGATGTGGCCTATTTCACATCGAGCGAGACCTCTAGCAAGCTCAACCTTATGGTACACAGCTATGTGTAAAGAAACATTTCTGAATAATGGATAACAGCAGTTATAGAGCTATAACCAATCCTTTTTGCCAGAACCCGCTAATTTACTTAAAAACATTTGTAAAATTAAGATGTTTTATTGAGAACGCTTTCCTGACAAGGACAATGTGTGGTACCTGAGGAAGAGGCAGAAACGGGGAGCAACAGTGTGTTGTGTTGTTTTAAATAGGATTGTCAGAGGCCTCAATAAGATGACATCTAAATAAAGACCTGAACAAAGAGAGGAAGCAAGCCACATGCTTATGTAGGGGAAGACATTCCACCAGGCAGAGGGAACCTCTGAGTGTAAGAGTCCTAACATAGGATCATACCTGCTGCATTCTTCACACACCCACTAGACTTTCCCCATGGATGTCCTGCTGCCACCTCCACTGCGCCCCGCCAGATCTTCCTGACTTCCAGGCTCACCATACTCTCCCAGGCACACAAACCAGAAACACACTGTGTGCACTGCTCTCTTCTTTCCACAATCAGTGACCAACTCATACTGTAACATGATACTACCTTCAAAATGTTACATCTTTCTCTTCCATTCATTCCCACTAACATATCAGCCCCAAATTACAAAACATTAAGACCACAATGGACCTTAGATATTATCAGTGAAACGCCATCTTACCGAAGCCCATATTACCCAAGTCTCGGAAATATCAAGCCAAAGATCTATTATTACTACATTGTTGGATTTTTTTTGGTATGCCCCTCCCACCCTCCCCCAAATTCAACTCATCGGCATACTGCTCACAAATGAATGCTTCTTACACACTGTCTTCATCACATTACTCATCCCCCATTCCACAATATCTACACTACCTATTAAATAGTCTCCTTTCACTGTCCTACATGCACACTAAGCTAATTTCACCTTCTAAATCTTCATTCACATTCCTTCCTCTGACACAATGCCTTTTCTTCTTTATCTATCTAGAACTCACCTATCCTTCAAGTCCCTTTTCACAGAGCTTTCCATGACTATAACAGCTTTCACTGATTTCTCTCTTCTCAGAAATTCTATGGTCCATCATAAGATCTAACACGGTAGTCTCTCTCCTCCCCACCTCCCATCCCCACCCCTTGCAAAGCATCATCAATAACTCACTTCAAACACGTATTAACTTGCTTTGTTTCATGTTTATCTGGACTAAAACTCCTTGAAGACAGGGATTGCAGTTTTGTCTCTCCAAAAGGGCCTTGCAGAAAATAGCACCTAATCATATTTTGAGCACTTACTGTGTGCCTGATATTGTATTAAGCGCTTTACATATTTAATCTCGTTTAACCATCACAATAATATCGTGTTATTGATATTATTCTTCCTATTTTACAGAAGAAACAAAGACATGAAGAGGTCAGGCTGAGGTTGCATATCTTAGAAAAGGCAAGGCTGGGATTTGAGCTAGTCTGCCTCTCAAAGCCAGCACAAAGCAGAGGCTGTGAACAAAGGTTTGTTGAATTATCCTAATCATCTGATGTGTGTTGATGGTCGTGTCATCCCACATGAATTAATGAGGGTGGAAACCATGCCCAGAGTTTACGGGGTACAGTGGGGAGAAGGGCTGCCCCTTCTTGCTGAATACCCATCAGGTGCTATAGGTTCAGCACCGGGCATTTCACCGAGCATCTCATTTACACGGTGAAAACTCTTAACTTGTAATTCCTCCATCGGAGATTTACCCCAAATGTCACTCATCCTCAATCGGAGCACAAATGCTCCCAGGTGTGATGTGTACACACTCCTTCTGGGCCTCCCTGTGGCTCAAGGAAGAGGGCAAAGCCTGCTGATTCCCATCAGCCGGTAAGTTAAAAATCTCGGCATCATAAAGCATTTGCCAAGTGCCTGGACTTTTTCAGGACAGGCCACCCTGCTCTTCTTTCTAACACTCATGTTCTCCCTTATTAAGCACCAGAGCCCTTGTGAAGTAGGCGGCATTTTCTCCACGTCTCAGATAAATAACGTCCCCCAAAACCGACTCTGTTTAGGTTACATGGCAGATGGCAGATGGCGGAGGAGAATCCAGGTCTCCTGACTATCCAACCGGCTTCATTCCCTCAGCAGACACTCGTAGATGGTAAATGATTTATCCTGGTGTCGCTGGGAACTCTAAATAGCAAAAGCTCTGGAATAATTTTCCTTCAAAAGGTATATAATGGACACCTATAGATCAACCTTATAGGTTCAAATACCATCTCCACGAATTCGCTTAGCGACACAGAGATAGTCGTTTCACCTCCCTAGGTGAATTCCCTCATCGGTAAATGGAGATAATAACAGTACCTACACCAAACAGTAATATCCTGAGAAGTAAATGAGATGATGGCAGTGAAACACCTGGCACGATGTCCGGCATATGGTGGGCGCCTAGGAATTATGGGTGCCCTTCCCCGGCCCCCTCCGCCCCACAAGCCTCGGGGTTCACCCACTACCATGAAGCGACAGGGTATCCACTCAGCCAGAGGCCCACGCACAGTCTCCGGTTTACCAGGCTGGGGACAGCCGCACTGTCATACCTGCATGGAGTCAGCGCTGACGATCTCGCCACCGAGCCGCTGGCCTAGCTGTAACGCCAGCGTGGATTTGCCGGTGCCCGTGGCCCCGAGAATTACTACAAGAGGCAGTGTCCGTTTTAGGCCCCGGAGCCCAGGGCCCGCAGACACAGCTCGTGCAGCCGCCACCGCCGCCATCTTAAAGAAGTCTACGCTTGCGCAGGAGCAGCTGTCCCCATGGCAACCGTCAGTGCGCCTGCGCGGACCTCGGGCTCCGAAGGGAGGTTGCGGAGGGAGGGAGGGAGGAAGGAGGTGAGGGCCCCAGGTCCCCACGCTCTGAAGCTCCCGCTGTGACTGCCATCAACTAGCTGCTGATGTGAGAACCTCAACTACCTCCTCTCTTAAGTGGGGCATGGCAGTCGTATCTAAAATAGATCTATCCGTATTATTCTCTCTTTCACGGCACCCAGTTCTTTTTCTTCATAGAGCTAATTACAATATGAAATTATATATTGACCTCTTGTCCATTGTCTGACTTTCTCTCCAGACTGTTAGTTCTATAAAGGCAAGGAACAGATTCTGCCTAGGTCACTACTGTATCTCCAGTACAGTACCTGATACCGAACAGACACCCAATAATTGTTAGTAGAGGGGAGAATGGCTTGCATATCTAGTGCTACAGCCAGTGAGCTCAGAGGTGTGGCATTCTCCAGGATCAGATCTACCCAGTTCTCAGGCAAGGGCGGCTGCTCTAATGTTTTCATCCAACAACTCAAACTGAGACACAATCATAAGGCAGAACAAGATTTTTCATCTATTTGGCGAAAGGATGCAAGAGATGGGGTGCGAACAGATAAAAAACAAGCAAGTAAACAACCCACAACATACAAAGAGAAAAAATAAGGAAGGCAGAAAGGATAAAATAGTAGCAACCCTCAGATTAAAGTGGGGGTGGGGAAAACTAGGTCCAGAGAGGACCAAAATTCTGGGGACTACACAACCTTTAAGAAAGGGCTATGGGAGATTTCCCTGGCGGTCCAGTGCTTAAGACTCCACGCTTCTACTGCAGGGGGCACGGGTTGGATCCCTGGTTGGGGAACTAAGATCCTGCATGTGGCGTGTGGCCAAGAAAAGAAAAAAAAGAACTTTGGAACCAGATGAACGTGGCTTCAAATCCCGACTCTGCCACTTATCAGCTGAGTGACTTCACACAATTCGCTTAGCCTCGGTTTTCTCATCCTTAAGTACCTCTCAGGACTGCCATAAGGAGAAAATGAAGTAATGCCTGAAAAGTGCCCGCTACAATGCCCTGGCACATAATCACCACCATTTGTTAAACATTTTGTATTTTAATAGTAACACCCCATCTGACTTACTAAAGAGGTTAGAGCAGCAGCCTAAGGGCAGAAGAATTTTCAGTAATGTGTGAAAGTGGCTAAATACCTATTCTACTAACGCTTTGTTAGCCAGTTTAAGAGTCTTAACTGCTTTCTGCCTGAGATTACTACCTGGCTCTGCCTAGCTCACAGGTCATATTACCCTTGGGTCAGAGGAATCACCCCTGGACGGTTAGAGAATATGATAGGCCTGCCCTGAATGACTGCCAATAAATATATTTCTCAATCACTTGGATCACCCCTGGCATAATGGCCATTCTTGCAGACCCAGCCTAAACCTTGTAGTCACATGTATCCCAGGGTCCTTGTACCTCCTTTTCTCAATCCAGCCTGCTTCGATCAAAAGTCTTGTTCTCTCCAATTTGTGGTACCCGCCTGGGGCTGGTATTAAAATCAAGATGTGTGGCCACATATTGGCAGACACTCTCACATGATGGTTGTTAACTGTAGAGCCTTTGCCTGCAGATTTTCCGAGGGTACGGTTACCTTGACAACAAGCAGAAAGAAGGCAGGCTGGAGAAATGATGCAAATAAAGCAAAAGGGAGGCTAATTTCATGATGACAATCTGACCATGACAGAGGAGGCTCACTCACAGATGGGAAAGTACTGTCCAAGTCATGACCAGGTGACTGGTATGAGAGAGAGAAGGGGGGGGGGGAACTATGGACAGCAAGGGGGGAAATGGGGGGGGGAGGGGGGGGGGGGTGGTGGTGGAATTTACCACTGAGAGACCAGAAGAGGGAGAGGCTGGTTACCAAGGCAACTGGGGAGCAAGGAATGAAAAAATGGGGCTTCACCACAGCCGCAGAAAATTGCTTCTAGCCAAGCAACACAGGACTGTTGCTATAGAAACAAAGAGAACAGGGGTCCTGTAGACCATGGGGAGAAATATCACTGAAATACTGAGCAGGAAAGACTCCTAAATCAGATGGAGCCTGTGGTCCAAAACAAATGAGGAGAAGTGAGAAAAAAAACATCACATCATTTCCATTCATTGTAATTCTGCCAGCCCCACCAAAGGAGAATGGGAAAATATTTTTTTAATACCTTTAGGCTATTTTATTTGTACTTCTGTCTCCTTAATGATCTTCTGAACTCTAAATTATACTAAGAATAGTTCCTGAAAGATAATCTTTAACTTGAAATCCTAATTAGAGAGATTAAGTTCAAGGGAAAATTGGGAAATTGAAGTCTATGATCAAGAGTTAATAAGTATTTATAAAAAACAACATAAAACCCTCTAATGGGCAGCTTTGTAGGGTAATAAGGAGACAAAAGGCGGCAAAAGGGAGTCAGAAAAGCTATTTGTGGTCGTGCCCAGGTATTAGCCCTGACCCCTCTCTGCCTTGTATGAGGCCAGATGGGAAATAGCTTATTCTGAAAGATAGCTCAACAGGAAAGGGAGTCTCTCACTCAAAGTGTATGTGTATATCTAGAGATGAGGATGCAGAAGCCCATCTCAACACACTCCACTGCTTACAGATTATTTGGGGTTAAAAAAAAATCTAGTTTACAAGGCAAAAATGCTGGGATACATTCAGTCTGGAAGAGGATGTCTGAAATGCAGGAATGAGGTACTAGGGAGACTCAAATTACTTGGAGGGTAATAATTTTTCCTGCCCTTCTGAAAGTCCACAGTCAGCCACCTAATTGTTACTGCCGGTGTGGGTGTGCTGTACCCTAGGGCAAATGGGTAGTCAGGATGGGCAACCTCTAGGTTGCCTCACATTCTTTAGGAAATTGAGAGCAGTACATGGGGTGGAATGGGCATGGGAACATGGCAGAAAAGGAGAAAGGGAGAAGTGCAGAAAGTTAGAGGGGAAACCTAGGTGATGACCCAATTAAAAAAATTTTTACAAAAAGAAACATAGGGAGAAGGTAAAGTTGAAGCCATTAAATGGAACATCCAGGAAGTTTGAACTTTTTGGAACTCTACGGGATGCTGTGACATGGAAAGGAGGAGGTATATTGCCACGGAAGGCCTGAAGCATCTGTTCCCAAGGTAAGAGAAGAAAGTTGGGTCAAAGATAAACACTAGCTTTTTGGTACAATCGAAAGTGCTGAGAATTCCCTGGCAGTCCAGTGGTTGGGACTCTGTGCTTCCACTGCTGGAGTCCTGGGTTCAATCCCTCGTCAGGGAACTAAGATACAGCAAGCCGCACAGCCAAAAAAAAACATTATTTTTAAATTACAGATTAAGGGCTTCCCTGGTGGCGCAGTGGTTGAGAGTCCGCCTGCCGATGCAGGGGACATGGGTTTGTGCCCCGGTCCAGGAGGATCCCACATGCAGCGGAGCAGCTGGACCCGTGAGCCATGGCCGCTGAGCCTGCGTGTCTGGAGCCTGTGCGCTGCAACGGGAGAGGCCACAGCAGTGAGAGGCCCGCGTACCGCAAAAAATAAAATCACAAATTAAAACAAAAAAGCAAAGTGCCTTTGCAGCCTGACCCCCATCCTAATTAGACACCCCAAATAAAAAATGTTTCATGCAGGAATATTTCATGATGAACATGGTGCCTGTATTTGTTTCCTAGGACTACCATAACAAATTACCACAAACTGGGTGGCTTAAAAAAGCAGAAATGTATTCTCTCACAGTTCTGGAGTCTAGAAGCCCAAAATCAGTGCATTGGTAGGGCCACACTCCCATGCTTCCCCTCTAGGGAAGAATCCTTCCCTGCCTCTTCTAGCTTCTGGTGGTTGCTGGGAATCCTTGACATTCCTTGGTTTGTGGCAGGATGACTCCAATCCTGCCTAACTCACATGGCCATCTTCTCTGTTGTACATGTGTCGCTGTCCGAGAAGTTCCCTCTCTTTTTTTTTTTAAATAAATTTATTTATTTGTTTGTTTGTTTCTTTAATTTTTGGCTGTGTTGGGTCTTCGTTGCTGCATGCGGGCTTTCTCTAGTTGCAGCGAGCGGGGGCTACTCTTAGTTGCAGTGCGCGGGCTTCTCATTGCGGTGGCTTCTCTTGTTGCGAAGCATGGGCTCTAGGCACGCAGGCTTCAGTAGTTGTGGCACGTGGGCTCAGTAGTTGTGGTGCATGGGCTTAGTTGCTCTGCGGCATGTGGGATCTTCCCAGGCCAGGGCTCAAACCCGTGTTCCTTGCATTGGCAGGCAAATTCTTAACCACTGCACCACCAGGGAAGCCCGAGAATTTCCTTCTCTTAAGGACACCAGTCACTGGATTAGAGCCCGCCCTAATCCAGTGCGACCTCATCTTAACTTGATTATATCTGCAAAGACCCTACTTCCAAAAAAGGTCACATTCACAGGTTCTGGATAGTCATGAATTTAGTGGGGGACAATATACAGCCCAGTACAGTGCCTGTGAGTAATCACAACACCTTCTGTTGGTTTGGTGAATGGCTGTTTCCATTACTGTTGCCATTGGTGATTGGCCAATTCAAATCTAGGAGCATCGGAATTGCTCAAAACGAGTGAGGGGAAGAAGAGAGTAGAGCTCACCATAAACCATGGAGTTACCACGGTTTCTGAAACTCCTAAAGTTGAGTTATAGAGTTTGCTCCAGAGCACACCAGAATGTTCTCAAAGAGAGCTCACTTCCTGCCTTCTCAGATCTCCAAGACGGCCTACACATGCACAGGGATCCGCGAAGGCTGCAAAATCAGAGCGGGGAGGTGCAAAAGGGGAAAAGATGCAGAGCCATCAGAGGTCCTTTCCGGTTCTAATCTCATGGCTCCTTCAATCCCTCTCCTCTACTTCTCTGGCCCTTTCTCTTTCTTGTGGCTTTGGCACTGTGGGCCTTCATCATCTTCATATATTGATGAGTCTCAAATCTGT